TGTGTGTGTTAGTGTGCGAGGTTCTACGTTAATGTTGTCAGTCAGTCAGTCAGCAGGTGAGCTTGAGAGTGTTGTTGGTGTCTGTATTGGAAGTGCTCTTTATTTGTTTCTCCTTTGTGTGGGCACGTGTGCGTGTGTGAGTGAGAGTGAGTTACTCATAGAAATTGACTGTATTATTGAGTGACCCGATACGAGTTGCATAAACGAGTTTGAGTGCCAGTTCAATGAATAGAGTTGTATATGCACCTGGAAGTGTGTCTCTTAATGTTTGCTGTTAGCTTTCCGGTTGATAGGTGATTCTTCTCATTTCGAGTAGATTATTGATGTCTAGTGATCTCTCTGTGTTTCTGTGATGACAGTACTTTTCAAGGGGGTTGAGTGTTGTGAAGTGCAATGAGATGAGTTCAGGTGAGGTGAGGTGAAAAGTTGCATGGTGAATGGAATGGACTGCACTAGATTGGATTGGATTGGAGTGGAGTGAGGTGGGCTTGAGTTACGTGACTTGTGTGTTGATTGTCCACGGTTTCTTAGTTTTAACTCTGTGAGAGTCATTTGTCTGACTTTTACTTCCGGTCGAGTGGAAGAGGACCAGCGGAGATCGAGATCAACACAGAAGTGGTACATGATACATGAATGCATATGCTCTGTATGTTTCTCCGCTTATCGTTTTTCTCGCCACCCTGTTCGACTGGCTGCATGATTAAACCTTGGGCTACCAAACATTTTCCACCGAATACTTCTCATCAATTTCTTACCTTTCAACTTGTTTTAATCTTTTCAATATGGCTTTTAAACGCGTCATGTACTATTGCGCACTGTTAGAATGCTTTCAAACTGCCATCTTTCAAGATGACAACAAAACAAAGAATAAATCATACGCCGGTAAGAGATGGGCTTATAAGTGCACAGAAATGCAGCACATTACTATTCCTTGAATGAATATGTCAAGTTGCAGATTTTGTTACTGACTGAATAAACTACCACTACCAAAATTCACTCGACTTTCTATTCATTCACCAGTCCGAACCAGACATTAATGTAACACCAGGCACCTGTTTCATATTGTGACATTCATTACTGTTATGATTAACTTTATTCAAATGCAATGATTATTTCACTTACACATATTCTACAGGGAATGAGTCTGTTGAAATATATTATACTGAGAATTACATACTGTACCAGAAGCCTTGTTTGGAATTAACCTATTATTATCATTATTATGATTGTCTTCATTATTAATGTCGAAATATTCGCTTTTGGAATGGATCACTTCTGTAGACTTGTTTATGATTCTCTTGGGTTGAAGAAGTCTTCTGTTTTGTTAATTAATTCTGAGATACGAAATAAAACGTAACACGTGAACATTTAAGTGGCTTGCTTTGAGCGGTGCTAAATCTATTTGGTGAGAACCTTCAAAGATGGATAGAGGTGTATCCCTGTGTGAGAATACAGATTCCTGCTTACTACAGAATTCACCTTCTATGCTCAAGGAATATGTAGAGAAAGTTATTGTAGACGCGAAGAAGAGCACAATATTTTATTGAGGAATATTTTGCAGAGGCATTTTCCAAAATTTATATTTTCAACCAACATTTCAGTCGTTCCACTATCTTCATAAGGATAGGAGGCGTTACTACTATGGCATTAGTTTAGCACAACCAACAGTTTCAGGGAGGCAATAAGAACAGTGGATAGCTTTTAATGCGAAAACAGTTATCCCGAGAGTTTTGTGAGGGTCACTTTAATGAAATCCGCTAGATGAGAGTGCCTTGAAAACAGCACTGAAGAAACAATTGTGTCTGACCATTAGCGTTCGAGAGTGGTGCAACTGAAGAACAACTGAAAGTGAGATAAAGAAAGTTATGGACAACTTTCGTCGCCACAATACTCCATGTAAACTTCACAACTGGCTGTTATACCGATGCAGTTGAAGGATTGGTTACCGAGTGTTACCTAAAGAAATGCTTTCAAAGAGACTTACTTATCTAAGCTACGTTTTCGATATGATCACAACGGCAATCAATACATGCACATTTGAAAACTTTCCTCAGTTTACTGCCATTGGGTTTTATGTCTGGTTTGTAATTCTCTTCACTCAAGAAACTCATCAATTCAGTTATATACAAGGTTACTACTATCCTACAAAGAGTTTTTCCATGAAGCCTAGTTACGGTTTCTCCAAGTGTGTAGCACACGATTAGACTCACGGGATCAATGCAATATTCAAAGATGATTTGAAAACCAGAGAAGGTATGTTAACCTGTTTGGTAATGGAGAAACTGTTCCAAGCTTTATACATCATATCATGTCATCTTGAATTACTGCGACACTTCGTGTACACTTGAATGGCCACAAAGTCGACCAAGAGAAAATTTTCCCACAGCTGCTCCTAGAAGTGTGCCAAAATGCACAGACGAAATCGATTGTTTTGTTCATTTTAGAAACCACCAGTTCAGCAGTGATTTTCACCTTACTCAGTTTGGATTGGATAGATGAAGTGGATGTCACGTAAATCTGGTCATTATTTCTTATTTATTCATCAGGTATGCCTATGCTAGAATTATACTTCCGTTTTCCATGACATGCTAGATAGACTGTTGTGTATCCACTCAAGCTTCTGTGCATTAGAAGCTGAATCTCAAGCCTGTATTTCATTAAAAGTATCCAGCTGCCAGTTCTGTGGTGACTGACTGATAATGGGGTTGATGAGTTTCCGGCGTTGAGTGCCTTAAGACCGACTTAACATTCCACATGATCCGCGGCAGTAGTAGTTATCCACAAAGCAGATTTTTCCACCGAATTCAACACTTCTTTGGAAGATAATACGCAGCATTGTACTACATGCATAATAAGATTTGTTTTTTTTGTTTGGAGTGGTTCTCTAAAATTGACTATCCAGATACTTGTCTTCAAAGCAAAATAGAAGTAAACTTCAGTGAACTGTTGATAACCCGTTGACGAGTTTATCAGTATGCCCATTTAAGATTTGATGTTGGAACTGCATTAGATTACTATATTCGCATGCTTGTTGAACTTCGAGTGCAGAAGGTGTCAGATGCAGATGGATTGAAGAGAAATGAAGGGAAGTAATTTCAAAGTAAAGAATTCTCAAAACGTGTAGCATGAAAAGAAGCTTGATCTGCTTACTCATACCAAGCCCTAGTGATTGGTAATTATTTTAGGAATACTGCTCATGCCGTTGTAGATGGAGTGAGTTTGGAACTTGACACCCACAAGTCGTAAGTCGAGTGCCTAAACCGATGATAGACAGTTAGTTCCACTCGAAATGATACCGTTTTCTCTACCGTTTGCCAGCTCTTTCCAGATACTTAGTATGAAATGAATGAGACACATGCAATAGTTCTGAGACTCATCAAAATGAACAGATAGAGAATCAAATCAACTAAAGGAGACGAGGTGAGTGTGATTTCGAAAGTAAATTCCATCGGTAGTGAGAAGCAAACTGGTCTACTCAAACTAATCCTGCTAACCGAAAATTGAGAGGATGGTACATGCACTGTGCTAGAAAGCAAACAGGTATACTGTGATACTGAAAGTATACAATCATTTTGGTTGGTGATTCATTCACTATATTCCTTGTCATCCGCATTTCCTTTGCTATGTCTATCGCATTGTCTGATATCTATCTACTTGTATTCCTTACACCAGAGTAAGTGCATAGCATAATTCCTAGCATTCTTTAATTCTAGGTGACAGAACATAAATTATGATTTATCCTTTGAGAATACTTTCTACCTCGCTAATAAATTCACATCGTAGAATACCGAATTTGGCTACGTGAGATCACCTTTTCCACACGATATTGTAGATCGAGTCAGATATAGTAAAGCTGATTCGCTCAAATCGATCATACAGTATTATTGTTATCAATATTTATTTGTCCATTGGGTTCCTAGTCGACCATAGGGCTTCAATAGCAGGTCTCCATTCCACTCTCTTCTCTACAGTCATTTCAACCTGGCGCCACGACTGCTACACAACCTTTCATTTCTTCCTCACATCATCTCCTCAGCGTCACCCTTGCCTCGAACGCCGAACTCATCGTTTCCCACTTGGATTCCACTCAAGGGCCCAGCCTATAGCGTGATGTCCCTAGTCGGTCTTCTCAGTGCACATCCAATCCCATCTATCTCCACTTTCTTCTGCATATTCTTTGAGTGATAGGTCCTTGGTTGATTCATTGTGGGGCCAGGCAGAGTTCCTTGTTGCTTATTCTTTCTGGCCATCTGATCTTCAGTATCGAGTGGGCGTAGGTGGTAGCTGTTGATGAATGTGTGTAGTGTGTTGGAAATGCTTCACGTGATGCACCAAGTCTCTCAACCTTCACACAGAAGCACTGACTTGACATGACATGACATTAGTGTTGGAAATCGGGATGTTGTTGACGCTTTATGCTGAGTTCAGTAGATCTCCACACTGATTTCATATTAATGAAGACCTGTTTTGCTGTCTTTCCCATCCTGATCTTGACATGATCATCTGCGCCGCCACCTGTGGTTGAAACGATGCTGCCTTGCCTAGGTAGGTGAAAGAGACTACTTCCTCCTTTAGGTTTCTCCCGTTGATGATGATTAGTGCTTGTTGTAGTTGTTTGGGTGTCTTCATCTGTCACCTCCGTCTTCTCTACGTTCACTTGAAGTCAGTCCCGTCTTCGCTGCCTCGCCTCTTCTATCGACTTGTTAATTTTTGCCTGTAGATCTTTGAGTTTGTGCGACAAGAAATTAGACATAAATCATCATCATCAGCGAAATCCAAATCTTTTTCTGGGGTCTTTTCATCGGTTCAGCCAGCGCATGCCCACCTTCTCACAGCTTCTCACAGATTTCTGTTGCATGATCCAGTAGAGTAGAGTTGAGTCGACCACAATCAGGAAGATCGTCGGTGGTAGTAGTTGGTAGACTTGTCTTACTCCTTCCTGTCTTCACTTCGCTTCAAAGGCATCACTGAGTTGAGCTTTGTATTGTGAATCGCTTGTCCTATAGCATCATCATCATCATCATCATCATCATCATCATCATCATCATCATCATCATCATCATCATCATCATCATCATCATCATCATCATCATCATCATCATCATCATCATCATCATCATCATCATCATCATCATCATCATCATCATCATCATCATCATCATCATCATCATCATCATCATCATCATCATCATCATCATTATCTAGCTGCTGAATGAGTTTGGTAAAGGTTTGTGACACTAAAAGTGCAGTGTTGAAGCAGCTGCCTGAAAAATTTATCTCGGTCGACACTGTCGAAGGCCAATTCAAAGTCGAAGTTTAGGTAGAGAGCTGACTGGCATTCTATGCTCTGTTCTATGATGATACGTATCGTAGCGTCGTAATTTGATCCACACATGATTTATTCTTCCTGAGGCCAGCCAGCCTGTCCCGGTGGTAGTTTTGAATCCAGCGCATCTCTAGTCTCTCCAGGATGATGTGGCATAATATTTTGCCTGTTTTGGGTGGACAGCAGCATGAATTCCATGCCAGTTATTGCAAAGGCTTGTCTTCCCCTTCTTTGGGAGTTTGACAAGGTGGCCCTTCTTCTAATCGATAGGCAGGTACCTCTCCTTCCTTCCAAACCCTCTGCAGTAGTGGCATGGTGTGAGCATGTCCGCTGTTGTCTCTGCGTTTGTTTTCAGTGCTTCTGGTGGAATTCCATCTGGTTTTGTTGCTTTCCCGAATTTCAGCAGTTTTATGGCCTTCAGAAATTCTGCTTTTGTTGGAGGGTTTGTGTTCACTGGGAATTTTGTGGCTGAGCTGCTGGTGGTATTTCTGGACGATTTGCAGGTGGTGGTGATTGTCGATTGAAGAGTTTTTGAAGCAGTCAGCTCATTATTTTCTTCTTTTTTCCTCCTTGGTAACTAAGTTTCCTCCACTATCTTTAATTGGTTTCGTCTGCGTTGATATAATGTTGTCAGGTCTCTCTTACCTTCAGTCTGTTCTGCTTCGCTTATAAGCGTGTTGTAGAAGTGTCTTTTGTCTTTGCGCGCACTCTTCTTCACTTCTTTGTCCCGTGTATTGTTTTATAGGTCGTGTTCAGTTCCTCATTTCCTTGTTCATCCCTGCACTGCACTGGGTCATCTTCTGCTTCACCATCTTTTTCTCTCTCCGCTATCAACTTCCATGTGTCCGTCGAGATCCATTCCTTGTCTTGCCTCTTTTTCCTTCCTAATACGGCTATGCAGGTTTCATTCCACGTCTCTTCCAAGCAGTTCCAGCGTTCTTCCATGTAGATTTCCTTGAAGATATTGCTTAACGTCTCCCATTTTGTTATGACAACTGACGTGAAAATGTCCTTTGTAGTTTCATCCTTCAGTTTCCGTTCTGAGTGTTCAACTTGAACTGTGGTCCATCAACCAACTTCTGTGAAGGCTTTCAACTTGATTTTGAAGGTAGCTTCCTTGCACTAGATTGTGGTGTGAGTGGTGTGAACCTACATCTGCTCCTCTTCATCATCTGATCTTGTGTCCAGTAGACTGTATCTTCACTTTCTTCACATTGAGATGAAGTCTATCCGATTTTTAGTGTAGTGTGTCCTGGAGTCTGGTGAAATCAAATCCATGTCGCTACCATGTGAATATCCTTGTGTTTGTACACACTGCCTCCAGTCACCAAGTCGTCGAATGCACAGAAGTCTGCAAACAATTCTCCATTCTCATTCATCATTTCACGTAGTGCTTCTCGACCCATGGTCAGTTCTCTTCCTCAGTTGGCCGCTCCGAGTTTGGCATTCATGTCGCCCATTGAAATGAATTTTGATGTCATCAACTTGGGTGAGGTTTTGTTCATTGTTGATTGCAGTTGTCTGTAGAATTCCTCCTTCATCCCTTGATCTCCATTACTTGTAGGTGCATAGCGTAGCACTGTATGATTGTGACCTTCCTTCCTTTCGAGTTGAATCAATCTGGCTGTCATGATCCTGATCGTGGAGGAGATTGGTTCTCACTGCATGGGAGAGAGCCTTCGATGCTGTTGGAGACATCATGATAGCCACTCCAAAACTCAGTGTGCTCGTGATTGTCGTCCGAGTGACGGTATCGGAGTAGATTATTGACTCTGCAGTTGAAAGTTTGGAGATTCCACTTCTATTCCATATGCACCAGCAGAATCCTAACACTTCTATTTCATATCTTCTCATCTCTTTTGCAATCTGTTCAGCTTTAGTAGGTTGATACATGGTGCGGACATTCCATGTCCCTACGCTTAGCTTACTTTTGCTTTCATCGAGGGAGGGAAGACACATCGGCCAATTGGCTTCCCTAAGGCTATCGCCAACCGGGGACGTCTCATCCCCCCGATTCCAGCGAGGAATAATTTTGTTAGTATTTTTTATATATCGATTGTGCTTTGAAGTTTCTGTAGCGGTTGGGTTGGTTTCAAGGGGTAGGGTTGCTAGCCTTATGCCCAACCTTCCTTCTTTATCCGATCTTAGGACCGGCTAGAAATTAGTGAACTAGTTAACCAGACGATGTTGATCATACAATATGGTAGGAAAGTAAGTTTTCAATGCCAAATGAATACCAAAATGTTAAGGCACTAGACCACCATTTATGTACCATTCAACTCAGTGACACGATCGAGTCTCAGTTAAAATGTTACGTGGCTAAATAAACTACGAGTTGATCGCGAAGTCGATAATAGGCTAACCTATAAACTAGGGCTACGAAGTTTGCCGCAGGAGGGAGAAATATGAGGTGCTGATTGACTTTTGGGGAGGACTATGTTGATATGAAGCAACTGTCCACAAACGTAGAGCATAACAAATTCGAGATGTGTAGATTCATCACTGTTGTGTCAGCCTCACATTCATGTGGGATCTAGTGAATTGTTTTTTCCTTGTGATGAAGTAGAGGACACAACATAGATTGCATTATACAGTCTGAAGAAACACATTATGAGAAAAATATTTTGACTGCAGACAGTTCACCACAGTCGAATGATCATAATGAAGTGTTGACCTTCACTGATTGAACGACCGTGTGATGTGTTAAGCTTCAACCCATTCAAATTGTTCTGTTGAACGTCCTACGAAGTGCTGAATAAGTTCATTTTGCATGTGTATGCATCCCCAATGATTTGCTTACACTATGTTCATGGTTAAAAGGGGGTTGTTTACATTTACAACACAAGGTTATATTCGGGACTAGAGACCACTCTATTATCAGTTAATCAACGCACCACCAATAATTTACTATTCAGTCTGACATTTGTAATTTGTGGAAATATTGTAAGAAGGTGACTGGAATAACGAACGATGAGTGAGAAATCATGACCTTTGAACGGAATGGATACTGGTTGATCAATTAGAGAATAGTTTAGGACATACAAGTGGAGAGATGCTTCACCTCACCTCAAGTCAACTCACTCATACACGATATAACACTGAACCTCTCATGTGAATTGACACGCTTGAAAATGATCTCATAATGCAAAGAGAAAAGGGTCACTCGACATCAACAATCCATTGGAACCAACACACACCATTAATCAACCTATCACACAACCAGCACACACATAATTAAGGATGCAAATTCAACCGAGAGTCAAGTAAGTGTACATAGGTCGCATGAGGTCACAGTACAATATGCACAATTTCCGTGATTTTGCATCCCCCTCTCACTCTCTTCCTCCAACACACACACACACACACACACACACACACAGAAGTTGACGTGTTCCACTCCAACTCTCACCTAGTCACCCATTCGAAGACAGACTGCACACTCTGTGCTCTATAAATATGCACCTGCACTCAGCCTCACAACAAAACTCACTCACATTCTCACAACTGCAAGCTCGAATCAGATGGTAAGTACCTGTGTTTATGTGTGTGTGTGTGTATGTGTATGTGTATGTGAATCATGCTGACTGTCATTTCAGATGCACATCACACTCGCCTCTGGTCTCCTCTTGCTACTCTTCATCAGCTCTGCACATGCCAATCCTGTATCCACATCTAGTGACAAGGTTAGCCAGGAAGAATTCTCTGAAATAAATGAATTATTCAAGCAGAAGTTGAATAAAAGTGAGATTCTAATCACCAATAATACTAATAAATAATTAATTATAAGTGAATAAATTTTTAATGGAAGTTTGCATAATGGTAATTTTCTATTTTGGTAATATTTCGAGCAAATTTACCACTGCTGAAATATTCCAACTGTTGGTGTGATCACGGGTAGTAGTATTTTTGCTCGAAATAATACCAAAATAAAAACCAACGATTGTGTGGAAACTTTTCATGAAAAAATTTACTCATAATACATCAGTCCATTCCTCAATGCACAAACTTTTCATCGCTGCATTATTGCTATAACCAGCATGTGATTTACTTTGCGTTTACCTATGTTGCATCGACTGACACGGTTTGGTGGAGAGACTGTATGTAACTGTGTAGAATATGTGTATGTTGAAGCTGCTGTTCACAATGTGAAGAGACGTTGGACAACTGCTCCACATTTTTGTCTCCCTCTGCTTTCGGGAACAGTCGCATGCGTCATCACCATGCACTACTTCCGTGTGTGTGTGTGTGTGTGTGTGTGTGTGTGTGACAGTGTCTGACCCACAGTGGAGGTTGAGTGCATTCCTGAGGTTGTTGTGTGTCACTTTCTTTGCCTGAGTAAGGGTGTGGTTGAGTGAATCAGTGTGGTAGTCAGTGTTTGCGTGAGTGGTTCCCACCGTGAACAGAACGATGGATATGTGAGTGTTGAGTAACTTCCCACTTGTGTACGTGTGTCAGTCTGCTTGCTCCTCATCGGTGCCATCTCAGTCACATCTCATAAATGCTCAGACAATATCTACCACATATTTGCATGCTCTCTCAACACTGAATTGATTCCATGAATTCTCTACTTTTTTCAGTGTTCAACAAGCCTCAGTTCAATCTGACAGGATTATTCAACTTAGAGAAAATGAAAAATGTTACCTAGTGGGAATAATGCTGCTTTGTCAATCCTCGTGGAAAATAAATACATCGATTGTGTGCTCAAATGCCTGTTGTTTTCCTTCTCAACATGTTCTGATTGCTTTGCGAGTTGCCTTGAATTTTGAAATAGGCGAGTTTCGATGACCATCCCGCAAGTTTGCATGTGGTGTGGGGTTATGTGTCCAGCGTATTTATTATCTGTGCATTGATTGTTCATCATTGACTGGTGTT